ATGAAGGGTGGTATATCAGCTTAATAAAATAAATAAATACATAATTTTGCACCACTGAATAGCATCACTGACCCACCCAGGTATCGTTTGACTCCAACTCCCATCAGCCCCAGTTAGCATAGCCAGTGGTCGGGGATAATGAGGGTTGTAGTCCAATAGGTTCCTCATCCATGAAAGACTCATTCCAGCTGACTGTCAGGAGTTGCCTGGTTTGGTCTTAGTACCCTGTGTGCTCACTGCTTGGCTGCAAAAGGAAACAGGTGGAAATGAACACATACAGTTGCATTATGGGATTGCGCTTGCTGGTCCTGCCACTGACCCCCATGTGTATTTCCAAACTTTTGCATAGAGGCCTGTATGCCTGGAGCCCAATGTACATCAACGCATGGTATGTGTCCTCATTTGTTTCAGGATACAGACTGTGCACTTAGAGCCTCTGTGCAACACATTCTTATGAACAATTGGAGGTTGGGGTGTGGCCCCTCTCCCTATCTTTCTGAGCCCTTTGTTTGAAGATCCACATAGGGTTATAAGGTTGCTCAGAGCAAATACAATAAAGATTACGCCACACTTTGTGAGTTAAATAAATCCTAAACAGCAACAGTAACTGGATGTGTGTTTCCTTGGCCGAAAACAGAGTTACATTAATCAGAAACCTCCCAAACAAGTCAGATGTAATGAAATAAATATGATCCTGTTTAAATAAGCTGCCACAGTAAAATTAAAGTGTGCAGAGCTTGCAGAAGTGGTGGCTTGGGGGCGGGAGAGGAAGTGATGCACCCTAGTCTCATTTTATGTGATTACATCTGTACATAATTTAAATAGGGGTTGTTCAGATATCTGATTAAATAGTAATGACTCCTCTATTTATATTAATTAAATGCTTACTTAGGGACCTGGTTTTGAACATGTACCGCCTTGCTTATCTGGTATGTGTGTTTTAATTCCAGAATATAGACTAGGCCTTGAAGCCACATGTGCCTCGGAGGTTTTTCTGAAGCTGAACAGATTATCAGTTCTGTCTTCATCTTGGGGAAAGGGAAATTCAGACTAAATTGAACCTCTCCCCAAGCAAGTGATCAGGGTTGTCAAAATTTAAAGCACTGAGAATCTGGCAGTGTTTGCACGTTGCACAGACCCTTGGATACTGGATTTTAGTGCTTAAAATAAACATGGTTGGGGCAATACCCAAAGCAGAAGTGGGGAGAGAAGAGCCCCCCCATGTCTGCATCCTGTAGGAGTCTTAAGATGAAGTTATAGATAAGGCAGAAAACGTTCAAATGAGGCCATATTAGTAGATAACATCACAAACAAGCCTGCCTGTAATTGTGGACCCTCATAGTAGTATTATCTTGGAATCAAGTACCATATTTTTCGCTCCATAGGGCGCACCGGACCATAGGGGACACCTAATTTTTAGGGGGGAAAATAATATCCAGGCTCAGAAGGCTTGCGGATAGCTGCCTGAAGCCCGGGGAGCACAGCGGCAGTTGGCACTGCGCTCCCCAGGCTTCAGGCTGCAGGCTGCTATCTGCAAGCCAGAGCGCTCCAAAGGCTTGCGGATAGCTGCCTGAAGCCTGGAGAGCGAGAATGGTTAGTGCGCACCGACCCCTCTCGCTCTCCAGGCTTCAGCGAAAGCCTGCATTTGCTCCATAGGATGCACACACATTTCCCCTTCATTTTTGGAGGGGAAAAAGTGTGTCCTATAGAGCGAAAAATACGGTAACTTATTTGGAGATATACCCAGGGCTTTTTTTCTAGTAAAGGAGGTGCCAGAACCAAAGTTGTTAAGCTTTCTTGGGAGGGAAGACCTCTTCTTCGCCCGCTTGCCCCACCATCATGGCTAAATAACATAAACTGCCACCTTGCACCACCGACCTCCACCACACAGCTCCAGTCGCTTCTGTAGGACAGCCCCGAGCGCTGTGATAGGGCAATGCTACAGAGATGCTGGAATGCACTAAAGAGCTGCTGGAACTCAGTTCTGGTGAGTTCCGGCTGAAAAAAAGCCCTGGATATACCCATTCCTGAAATCCTCCCAGTTCTGAAAGTTGCAGTTGAGGCCTTGAAACACTTTCGAGGTGTTAGCACCCAAGGAAGATATTTGAAACAGGGCCATATCCAGAAGTCATCCGCTGCTCAGAGCATTCTTCAGTACAATAACCATTGTTTTTGTGCTATATTGTTATTTGTAAGCCTTGCGGAAACGTACACTTTTGCGACTTTAACACTACTTTGTCTACTCTATCAGGAATCTATTCTCACTATCGACATATTGTTGTCACAATTGTATGTCTTTCAGCGCTTTCTGTTCTTGTATTAGGAGATAGTCAAGTATTGAGTTGTGCCGAGGCAGAAATATACAACAGCTTTCTCATATCTCATATGCAGATACATACCCAGATCTATATTTCACCCTTAGGTGATATACACAGATTATTTTGCAAGCTGACCAGGAAAACAGAGAAACTAGATAGACCTCGTATGAACAGAGGTAGAGATTAATTTTAGCTGGAGCACTAGGTAAAAAGCAGAAGCCAGATTGCTTTACCTAGCAGTTGGAGGGGATGTTTCCTCAGGGAATCAAGTTCCAAGACCAGGTGGTCTAAGATCCTCTTCCTCCACTTCCGGAACCAACTATTGAATGGATAGTATTTCCAAGTATTTCAGTATTTTCCAAGTCACGCAAAGAACAAAGGCAGCTGTGTTGGGTCCACAAGAAAAATAAAGGGGGGGGGGAATCCACATAAGAGCAATTCCTTCCTACCAATAAATGCAGTACATGGACTGCTTCATCCCTTGAAACACAGACAATATTCGCACCCATTACAAATACTGTTGTGTGTCAGCTATCTCTATCTTTAGTGTCCCTCCCTAGCATAGAAAGACGAGGTTTGGGAAGAATGTTCCACTGAACAAGAATCTTGTTTTCATAATTAGGAAAGTCCACCTGTTCCATTCACTAGAAAATGGAAAGAGCAATAAGAATTGGAAATTGGTAGCAGTTGTAAATTACCACCTTTATTTTTATTTTCCAAAACACTGCCATTTGCGAATAAGATATAGACAAGACATTTCAAATAATGACTCTAGAATTTTAAAACCTTCCTGCCTTTTTAATATTAACAGCACTGTTGTACAGTCATACCTTGGCAACCCGAACGCCTTGGGAGTTGAAAGTTCCAGCTCCCGAATGATCGGAAACCAGAAGTGAGTCTTCTGGTTTTCAAACATTCTTTGGGAAGCCAAATGTCTGTCAGGGCTTCCGCTGCTTCCGATTGGCTGTAGGAGCTTCCTGCAGCCACACTTGGGAAGTCAAACGTTTCGGAAGTCGAACGGACTTCCGGAACAGATTCTGTTCAACTTCCAAGGTACGACTGTATTTTAATTTTGGACCAATTAATCCATTTGAGTCTGCACAATTTTACATTACATGGTTAATCTTTATACACATATAGTTTGCTGGATTTACAAATACTATATTTTTCATAGGCTGTGCCTCCACGAGGCCATAATGTTCCATGCTTTTGACCACTTCAAATCCAACATTCAGGGAGTTAGATCCAGGCTCCCTGTAGCCTTTAATAATTCTGGGAGGTCCATCACTAGGTATATACTTGTGGTGGCCTTTCTTTTTAAAAAATATTAGTGTAATAGGTGGAGCTGTAACATTGATCTTTAAGGCATCATTTCCACATAAGCTAAAATTACAGGGAATATAAATAGATCCAGGAGGAAGAAATGAACTTTCCAGTGTTTTTTTTAAATATAGAACAACTATAATTGTGATATGCTGAATGGCATTGATTCAAACATTCTGTGGCAGACTTTAGAAGCTTGTAAATAATATTAATTCAATACATGCACACATGCAAGTGCACACATATTTGTGTGTGCGCGCATACACACAGGACTGCTAGAAACCATGCCAGCTCTTGGATAAGTTTGGGAAAGCACTACAAGAACATCAATTTAAGGGAGTTTAAATGGTCAAAACTCACACAACATGGAAAGTCTATTCTAAAGCCTGTCTAGGTTGAGAACATCAGGTTTGAATGTTCTTCTTTCATTATTAAGGAATTCATACTTTTATAACCCCCCTGGTCCCTAGTGAATAGAGTGCTTGTGAAAGTTTTGGCATTGCAGCACTGGAAACACAAGAGGTTCGTGGAATTGTTATCGCCTTTTTCGACCACTTGCTAAAAATGTGCTTGAAAAGGATTATCCCGCAGTCCATTAACCAGCCTCTATGCTGGGAGCAGCCATTCGTGTTACATTCAATTTCATAATGGTCTAGTGATTGGTTTTCCCCATGTCCAAAAGATACCTATGGTTAATCCAAGAAAAATAGAAACTCACAGCTTCAAGTATACCTTGCATGGCTTCTTCTTCACATTATTTGTGTGTAAGGGAATAGAAGGGATGAGCACTTTATCAGGTAGTGAAAGAATGTGCTGCATACTGCAGTTTAATCTATAAAACTAGTTTGGAAAAATTAAGCATGTTTTCAAACAGGTCTGGAACCTTTAGCCCCTATCCCGGAAATGGTGCTGGACTGCAACTAATGGTCATCGTCCCTGACCATTGCCATACTAGCTGTTGGGATGTTGTTGGAGCCCAACAAGAAGCCCACAAGTTCCTCACAACTGCATTAAAATGTTTTTTAATGATAGGTAAAGGTAAAGGGACCCCTGACCATTAGGTCCAGTCGTGACCGACTCTGGGGTTGCGGCGCTCATCTCGCTTTATTGGCCGAGGGAGCCAGCGTACGGCTTCACAAAGTGTGCATTTGAGCACCCAGATACAGCAAGAGATGATGTTACCATGGCTGTCCCCTCCTGCTCTGCCCTTTGTAGTATGCATACTCTGCATACTTTGTAGTATGTTCTTCATTCAGATAAAGATTCTAGAAAACCGTTATTTGCAGTGTTGCATCATTAAAAAAAATGGGATGCGGGTGGCGCTGTGGGTTAAACCACAGAGCCTAGGACTTGCCGATCAGAAGGTCGGCGGTTTGAATCCCCGTGACGGGGTGAGCTCCCATTGCTCGGTCCCTGCTCCTGCCAAGTTGATGCACATTTTCTGGCCTCCAATCCAACAGCCATCTTTGCAAGATCTTGCATGTCGATTCTCATTCCTGTGTTTTTCATGCAGTGCTTATAGTTCATCTAACCTGCTGAAATTTGCTTGTATGATGGATAGAGCTCTCTGTGATAGCTTTATCAATATGAGGAAGAAAACTTGTGTGCGATCAGTTGGTCATAAGACAAAATAATCATAGGAATGGGTTAGCAGCTTAATTTGCAAGGGCTGAATCCACCCACACTATGGATGGGAAAAGCTGGCCCCATGTTACCACAAAAATATGGAGATGTCTCAAGTACTGAATGAGGGTAATGATCATGCTTATTGTGTTGAAAGGGACAATACAAATTAAGGTGTGTTCCTACTCAGAATGTGACACAATTCCTTTTCCTGTGACAGAGAGGCAGTGGGTATGCTTCGACTTGAGAGGAAAATGAAAATATCCAGAGCCTGCCCATTTTGAAGTAAAGCAGAGGAAAGCTAAATGGACTGTGCTTGCATCGTTACATATATGGATAGGAAAAGGGGAATGACATATCTGTCAAATAAATGTAGTCTAGAGTGTTATTCAATGTGAATGAATGCCCTTTAATCCAGCACTGATAAGTGTAATTTAGGAAACCCACACAAGTGAATTTGCCATATCATCTCATTGGGTATAAGAGGGAGGCAGCCTAATTTCCTTGATATTTTGCATTATAGAATTAGGAATATGGATTGCGTTAAACACTGTGATTATTGCTTTTAAAGAGACTTTTGCCGGCAATGGAACCAAAAAAAGTAATTGTCTCAGGCTGGTTTTAATGACAATAGGTATAAATAGTAATCTAATTATACTTGGGAGAGATTTATAGCTCTAATTACTACTAGTTTAAAATTGCAAAGGGATTGACACAAGCAATCAACACATTCCATGCTGTGAATCCATCTTGCTATTGTAAAAGCTACCTGCCAATTGCTTGTCAGTGGAATGATATGCCATGCTGCACACATTATTTCGGGAATTAGCAATACAACAGCTCCATATGCATAAATGTTATCTGTTCAGTTGAATGGTAAAATGTAGAGCCCAGAGGTTATAACATTCACAATCGGAGTCTTGCAATTATGTGATTCCCCCCCCTCCCTCATACAGGCTTTTTATCTGCCTGATGCAATATGAGCTAATTTCAGGGGGCTCAGCTCTCCAGGTGACTGTAACTTGCTGTAAGTGAACTATCTCTGAACGTGTTTTTTCATACCTGGAAGATTCGATACAGGTCCCCAACAACATAAGCTTGCTGATTATTACAGGAGATGGGTGTGATTGATTTAACTTAACCTTTTTCCTCTTTCAGGTGCACACATCATATATATCTTTCCATGCACTTCCTTGAGTATAACATATGCGCCTAATGCGCTCAGGCAGTTGAACACTTACTTTTGATTATCACATAAAAATAGATGCAAAACACCTCTGCTTTTACCTTGCACTGCACTGTTCTCTCCTGGCCACTTGGCTGGCAAGGACCGGGGCAGGTCTTTATGCATGATAAATTGTAGACAGGCTGACTTTCTTCAGTGTACATTAGGTAGCCAAGTGAAGCTGAGGACAGGGCTGCTGCACCTTTAATAGAGTGCAGAAGAAGGAATTTTGGCAGATCTTGCTGGTCCTGCCAACTCTGCCTGCTGAAATTTCTTCATCTTCATAGCTATTTGTGCTGCAGGACCATGGTTCTCTTTTTCACCTGTCTACTGTAGCGACTATGGGTAGAGTCCAAGAAGAAGAAGAAAGGCTGTAAGCCTGCTTAGATCCAGATCAGATGCAACAAACCAGACAAGAGGACTCAAAAGTTTCTCCAAACCAACAGCTGCTTCCGCACCCCAGTCTGTGCATTTTCCTTCCATTCTATGACTTCATTTCAATCAATTTCAAGTTTGTTCCAAGTGGGTCTCATTCTTAAGAAGTTACCATTGTGAGAAATTTGTGCTATTATTGGTGTTTCATCATTTTAGTGCTTAATAAGCTTGAGTCTGCTGTTAAACATGTATGTTAAGTTTTGAATGGACTTTCCTTCTCGAGATCAGGTGTCTCCAGCAGAAGTCGGTCTCCTTTATTCCAGCTATATAATCCAGTCAAGAACTTTCATCTACAGTGCTCCTAAATACACCATTATAACACTATTAATATTTCTTATTTTTATAGATCCATCTCTTGTTTTTATCTTGGGGTATCCAAAACAAAAGACACTTAGAGAGCCTGCCCCCCTTCAGAACGTGCCCAAGATAAGCTCATCTAATTGCTTGCATTTTCAGCACAGCTGTGTGCAATTAGGCTCACTTCAAGATCCCTAACCATTTAACGTCTCTCTCCACCCATTTTCACAATATGGCATAAGCGTCCACAGTGAAAGCTGAAAGCTTTCCATCTTTATTCCATATAATTATTGCTCTTGAATGCTGCTTCTTTCTATGAGAAAATTCTACATTTCTATTGAAGTATTGTAGTTCAGTACCACTGCCAAATACTGTGAGATGCCCATAATGGAATAAGATTCTCCCCATTGCCCCACAAAGGAAAACAAACACCCGCCTTGCTTTAGCCATAGAGTCTGCTAAAACAATGGCATATCATTGGAGTCTTTGAAATTTCAGCAGTTATATGCATGGAGCATGGAGCCTACATACGACAGCTTGGGAACTGTGGAATCTACAGCAGGCTTCTCTTATAATACACCCACATACATAAACACACATCATTCCGTAAACCTCCCAACCACTATACTCCTCTGGTATTTGGGGTTAAATTATGCTTCCACTGGCACACTGGTTTATTTTCAGTTGTTTGAAGCATTTATTCACTTAGCATTATTTGCCGTGTCAATGCTCATTTCCATGTTCCTTAATATGCAGTGTGAAGGCTTTTGACATCTTATAAGGAGGAGATTTGCGAAGGATAATTTTTATGCATTTTCCCCTGGCGAAAAAAGGAGACTACTTCTGATTGTTAAAGCATCATTTTACTCGCCACCATCTACCACACATGTCAAATGACATTATTTCTGAATTACCCACAACTCCTTATTTATCCGTCGGATTCCATTTATGAAATGCTTCCCATAAAATATCAGGAAGCAATTTCACAGTAAATCGCCAACTATATATATATATCTATCCAATTCCATATAGAAAAACAAAAACAATTCCGTATGTAAGAAACATTTCAAATCCAGCACAGATGCAGACACAGTTCTTTAAGTGCAGAAAGATCTCCACTTATAAGACTTGTCGAAAAAGAAAGGACTTCAGTAGGTGCTGAAAAGACAAGAGAGATGGCCTTTGTCTGATATGTTAAGAGAAGGAGTTCAATTCCTGTATGATATGGAACAGATGAGATGATACTCATAAGAGCCCCTCTTCTGCACAGCACAGTGATTGGGTATATAAGGGATGGGACAATCTTTCAGATATCCTGAGTCCCAAGCTTTATAGGGCTTGGTGCTGGCAAACAAAGAGCTTGAACGTGGCTCAGCAACTAAGTGGCAGCCAGAGGTAACTTCTAATGGCAGCAGATAATCTATAAATATGCTGTGAGTATATATATTTCCTGATGGTATTGCTTTGTTTCTCTCATTGCTTTTCAGAGGATGGATGACTGACAGAGAAGTGGGAAGGATGGTCCATGGCCCACCAACCGCCCAGCCATTGCTCACTCTCAAAATCTCTTCCCAGGAGGGGAAGGAAAATGGGCTACCTCTCACCAGCCTATGCAACAACAAGCTCCTTTCTTCTCTTTCTTCTCTCGCCTCACACACCTTCACATCAGAAGTGGCCGTTCCATCCTCAAGTGTGTTGAATGTTCCCATGGTCAACATTTAACCTTTAATGGTTTAGCACGCCCATCTTGTGTGGAGGTAACAGGATTAATCTGCCATGAACCTCCAGAGAAGTCTCATCGTGAGAATCCCACACCTTTGCAAGGTTGTACTCCCCACCCCCAATGATAACAATACTTAACAAGGCTTAGTATATTTCCATAAAATAAATTGTAAGGTATCATCAACAACAATCCAGAAAAAGAAAACATACCCAAACGACACAAGAAGTTACACCAAACAACACATAAGGAAGAAAAGAGGCTCATACTTCCATGTTCCAATATGTTATAACTATACTAAATTTCTCAACAAATCCATTGTCTGCTTGACTACCTTTTCTGTGTCTGTTATTTTTAACATACATGTCATATATATGCTAGATCCTCAGTAGTAATCCCATTCCTGCACAATTATTCTTGCATAAACTTCCAAGAAATCACTTCCCATAGTATTTTGCTGAGCCTCTGGAAAGCTCTGAACAGCTTTTGATTTGAAAAGTTTTTCCTATTTCTACTGTATATACTGTTTCTATATCTATTCAAATTCCAATCCACCTTACAATGGGCTATGAAGAATGGGGAGCACATTTTTAGTCTCCTTTCTCATTAGACCCTCTAGGTTATTTAATTCTTTCCTGCATCATGACCGAATCTTCTATACCAGAGTCATCTGAAGGCATGAACTCCCTTTGTACTGCAGATTAGAAGGAATGCTGTTTGTATCTCAGTGACAGCTGTGAACAGGCAATGTTTCAGTCCTAGTGTAGCTGTGGAAGCCAAAGAACAGCTGAAAGGACTTTTGGGATTTTGGTGCCACAACTTGCCACCTGTCTTTGCTTCAAGACCAGTGTTTGTAATGAATGTGCTCATTTTAACAAAGTTAACTGAACTATTTTTTACAAAATCTCTGAACTACACCTGAAAGAAGTTTCCATAATAAAGTATTGGTGAGTTAAGTGCATTTATAGGGCATCAGATGGCTCCATCTCCTTGCTTCAACTCCTCATGTTGGAAGAACCCCCAGCCTGACCAGACTCACTAGAAATTCTCCGAAGTGCCTGATCTGATTATTTGAAATTCCTAGGAAACTCTCCAGTGTGTGGTGTGAATGTGACCTCAGTCTGATGTGTGTTGATCTACTGTGACTACCCCTGGAATGATGCTAACTGCTGAGCTTTTGCTGAATAAGTCCCTGGCCCTTGGAAAACAATGTAATTTTAATGCAAAATTCAATCCTCTTTTGTTCCCTTGTATTTGCGATGTTTAATTCCCCCACCCCATTTTTTGTTTTGCCATCCTAAATGTAAGGTGAACACATTATGTTTTCTCTGAATTGAAATTCAGGAACCGATTTTGCCTTTCCTAAAGATGACAGTTTCGAAGGAACAATGCTTAGAATTCCTAGAGCGTTTATTAGGTTTCCTGCAACTTTGCCAATGGACTATTTGCTAAGTTTAAAGCATGTTGTTGACTCTCCCATAAGCATGTAGTCTGGTAGTGCTGCTGAAAAGTCAGTGTGGACTGACAATAACTTTAAAAATTCATCTGCTGCAAGCTCAAAGGCTGAGCCCTGTGAATAGGCCCTTATTTTTCTGGCCACCACTGAGTTTATTAAGCAAAGCTATCTGACAGGGTCTCTCCCCCCTCACTAGAGAGCCATTCTGAATGCTGAAACACTTCATCAGGTCTAATATGCTGAGTATTTTCTGCAATTGCAACTCAGCTTCATTTTTGTGTGTGCCCTATTTGTTGGGAAAGATCGCAGTGAGGATATTCAATGAATTAGGATTCTAATGCAGAGGATTTCTTTGTGGGCTTCTGCTGGGAAGCGAGCAAGTAAATTGCATGACAGAATTGAGACTTATAAATTTGTAATAGGTCTCACACTGTGCAGGTGCCTGAGCAAAAGAAAGTATATCTAGAATAGAACAGGCACATTCAATGCACAGGGAACAACTGTCTGCCCTGCTTCTGACCTTTCCTAGCTGTCTGGTTAAGAAGGTGGCTTGGAAACTGGTGAATCTCATCTTCCTAGTTCAAATAATAATGCATGATAATCAGTAGGAAGAACAGGAAAAAGGGAAGAGGAAAAAAAAGTCAAGGAAGTTAAAACTTTATCCCTCCTTCCGCTACATTCCAGTTAATGCCATGTGCTAACCAAGTCCTCATTTCTGGAACTTCAGTGCTTTATTTCTGAAGCTAATCATGAAGCTACCTTATAACTTTTGGTTTTGCAACCATTTCCCTAAGAACTCTGGTCAGAATTCCAGTTCTTCAGAAATCTCTCCATGGTCTAGGTTTCTCAGGCACAGAATCACTGATTGGACTTGATTCACACTAAAACTTGCCCACATATATATTTTACCAAATTTTCTTAGAAGGACCCTGTGCAGGGTGGATGTTAAATGGCAGCTTCAGAGAGAATTTTACTAGCCTGGCTGTGTGTGCATGTTTACTTTTAACATATCTCACAAAAACATCCTCAGCTTGCCTTTGCATGCTTCAATCTATCCCCCCTAAAATGTTTAGTTTTCTCGTTTATGGGAGTTCCCAGCACATACATTGCCTGAACAAAAGGGGGAGCTGGAAAATATTCCCTATTTCCAAGTGAATTTTGTGTTAAATGGATTTAACTTATCTCTGTGATGTAAATTGTTTGTTTCTGTTCACTTACTACCCTGAGAGTTTCCCCTTCAACTCAACCTTTGGAAGCCTAGATTGAATTCCAGCATGGGTGGCATAAATTTTCACTGAAACATCCTCCATGGAAAGTTGTCAGTCCCTGTTTCAAATATGGCAGTTCTGGGCTTATCTACCTTGTCAGAGCTCGAAAGGGACCAGTTTGTTCCCTTTTTCTTCTCTACCTTGCTGTTACCTCATTTAGAAACCCATTTTTGGTCACTCCCATCGCATCATTACTTTCCTGTTGGCAAGCAGTCCTTACTGTGGTTGTTATGGGGAATGGGAAAAAGAAACCAAAAGATATTTTTTTTAAAAAAAAACCAACAACAACTTTCCTGAAGCAGCTCTCTTACCTGTCACATCTGAATTTCATTAGTGTTGACAGAAAAGCATGATGGTTCTTAATTGAAGATTCACACCTGTGGTATGACAGCAGCTGCTTCTTTTTTTCAGGCTACCTTCAGGCCTCTCCTCAGCTTGCTGCTGTTCTGAAGATTGGTATTTATTGGGAGAGAAGCATTTATTTAATAAAAAGGCTTTTCAAGGCAATGCTCATTTTCAAGGTGCACAAGATTTCTCTTATTTATTGTGTGAACCTCTTCATATAAACTTTAAACACATTCAACTAAAGCAGAAGAAAGAGCCTCTGGGCCATTTCAAGAGGCCTCAATTTCCCCTCACGACACCCTTCAATGTTGCTTTCACAGCCCAGAGATGACTTAAGCTTTCTTCACCTGTTCCATTACTCACAGTTGGTTCACCAGTGGTTGCAGTAGCGCAGAACTGATATCCTAGACTGATTTTGACGCACCTGCATAATATTTGACAAAAATGGGTAGACATCTTTGACATCATCCCTCAAGTACACCCCTACTAGATAAATACCTGTGGCTGTGGGGTATAGCTATGCTTTCCACTATAGCTACGAAGTATAAAATGCCATGTGATATACGCACCTAGCGCAAACGCTTTTTGAAAGACACTGCTTCTTTTTTTTACAAGTACTTTTAAAAAAATATATCCAAGAGCAGGACTATGAAACTCTTTACTGTCTTCTACAGAAGTTTGCAATTGTACCATTGGTAAGGGGTTGCTATGCAATATGTATATATGTTTGAAATTTGTATACCGTCTTTCATCTGAAGATCACGGGACAGTTCACAATATGATTTCTAATTTACCCTGTTTGTTCAGAAGCAGCTTCTACTGTAATTCCCCCCCCCCAAAAAAGTACTCTCCTTCCGACTGTGACTCAGGAAACACCATGACAGGAAATGAGGTCGCCATCGGGGGTAGCAACAGAACTGACGATTCACTGTGCTAGAGAAGAAACTAAAAATGTTTAAAAAAATAGATTCTTTTCCCGTTAGATTCACAAAATGTTTGGAGGTATGTGTCCCCCCCATAAAAAAATCACTGCTGTAAACTACGGGACTTACCTTCAGACAAATGTTTTTAGGACTGGTGTGAAAAGTAAGAATAATTCCAAGACTGTCGTTTCAACAGCAGTCATATTGATTTTGCTTGGAAATGGACAGAACATGTACGCATGTATCTTTTCATTTATTCACTATGGGTTTTATATTGTGGTGTTTTTCCATGGTTCAGCAGGATATTAGAATGTTTGCTTTCTGTTGGTTTGATTTATAGAAGGACTGCTTAATGCTATTTTGGTAAATAATGCCATGTTTCCTTTAGAGAAGATGAATATAGCCTGTTGCTAAATTAAGGGCTTGCTATTACATGGAGATCTGTTATATGGCCACAGGAAAGCTGCTTAGCAAGCACCTGGATGAGAAATGTAAGGTCAGGAGATGGGCCTCCAGCACTCAATATTAAAAATACAGGGCCGTTCTGACATTTTTTTAATCTACCAAGGAGTATCTGTGCCTCTTACCTGCATTTATACATTTGCTAACATGAATGAATTAAATGGGCTTGTTCCAATGTGAGCTGAATAGTAGTGTGAACTTTCTACAGACTGAATAGTTACCATTAAAAAATGTAGCCAGCGAATCGTTCATATATATTGTATTCAGACTTGATTTCACAGCGTTATCATGTATTATTTAGCAAAAGTAGAAAAGAGAGAGAGTGCACAAGAGAAAGTAAAGGAGAGGGGAACTTTGCACTAGCTGGGAGAGTGTGAAAAAAGGTAAATAAATAGATAAATGATACTGTAATTAACCCAGAAGTAGGAAGGAATAAAAGTCAATTTTAACAAGAGGGAAATGCGAGATTATATGTGCCTGAAATTATCAGAATTTGAAAGCCACTGTGAATGTTGATGCCTGCTAAGCATTTCAACGTGTCTTAGCAATTTCTCAGATCCACTGATTACTATGCTTATGAAGACACTCTCCTCTTTAATCCTGGGCATTTTAAGAGCATACATCCATATTCCCAGCTGCGTGCAGTGCAGTCCAGATACTACAGCAGTAATGCTCATTAAATACGCATTAAAGAGAGTCTGATGCACAATAAGGTATCTGTGCAGACAAGCTTAAAGGATATATGCTATTTCTTTCCATTTGGAGCATTTTAGACTTCCTCACAACCTGATCCCGCCCCCCATCTCTATCCCAGGCCAATGCTTTTGGGAGAGTTAAGGTTAAGATTTTAAACCAGAGAAAGAGACTGATCTACACTCTAGGAGTTTTAGCAGTTTCATAAGTCCACATGGTTTGTTCATTAAGCCATAGCTTTGATGTGTGATAACAGTTTTTTTTTAAAAAAAAATGAGCTGGATTGCATGCTCTGAGCACATGTCGGCTTAGCCTCAGGAATTTCAAAGCTCAGAACAATGAGACTAGTGTAAAACCACTGTAGTACATCATTTGCCAGCTAGTACAGCTATAAAATTCTTTTTTGTCATTGTAAAATCTCATTTGATGTTTCATTTCATGAAGAAAAAACGGTGTGTGGCGCAGCGCTAAGGCACTAAAGTAGCATTGACATCTGTGAAATCTCTCTGAAGGTAACAGTGGTATGCATCCTATTTCTTCTCCTTTGGGTGATGCAGCTAAAGAGAATTGATCTCACAAGCTCAAGCTTGCTAAAACAGATGATTTTGCAGTGACCTTCAAATAAAATTCTTTTATTGAAAATGCATTTTTCACAAATATTTCTTTTGGATCTCTGGCTAACAATGGGATAGTCGAGCTTCAGATCTAGGACGGTGTGACATCTTTGCTGCAAACATCAGTAAAAGCCTATTTGCAATACCTAAAAAAGTAACACAACACTGGCATATAAACTAGGGGCAGGTTTTCTCAAAATGAATCAAAATAGAATATTAGCAGCTTCGTACACAGCTTGATTTGGAAATCTGAAGTTTTGAAATTAGTGGCTAAGCTCAGTGCAGTTTTGAAAGGTCCAGTCTGCCATCTTGATTCAAAATGGCACCTAATTGCTTCTAAACCTTGATCTCAGGAACCATCATGCAAAATTTGCTTATGAATTCTTGGCGAGGTATCTATAGTGAACTAGCATGTCCAAACCTATACTTGGGTTGCAGCTCTCTGCACACAAACCATGACCTGCAAACGTAGCTTGTCTTATGTTGTGCAGGATGTGGTTTGTTGGAGAGAGCTAAAGCATGAGTCCAAATGGGGATGACACACAAAGTTGTACCATGGCTTAATGCAGCAGCAGCTGCAGGACTTCAGAGGGGGCAAAATGGCCCCAGACGACTTTCCAGGAGCCGGCACTTTTGCTAATTCACACTAAGTCATGATTTGGCTTAGCGTTCTGTGTGAACTGGACCATTGTGAGAGAACCCAGATGTTTAAAAGTCAGAAGTAAAATGTGTTCCTCTTGCACTGATCAGATTGGCAATGGGACTGTTTATATGGCTAAGCCTTAAATCGGCTATTTCTTAAATCCATCTGTTACGTGGATAAACAACTACACTGGCAAGAACTGTTCCTCATTTTCAACCTTCATACTGAGGACAAATAGGATGAGAGAGGTTCAAAAGGTGCTTTTTAGTGTCTGAAGTAATTTTTCTTAGAGGTGGATGGCAGAACACAAAGATCCACAAACAAAGCCGTGATTTTTATCAGCCAATTAAAATAAAAGATGCACTGTCAACCATTTCAGATTTTTCTATAACAAAACATCTGCCATGTAGGTTTTTTTTTTTTTTTTTGCTGTTAAAGAGAACGTGGCATATAATCGTGCAAGCACTATCAGGCATGATTAAAAACAAAAGCTGATTCAAAATACAGAAAAGGACATGTACATATCATGGGACCATTTCAGAGTGCAGGTGAGGAGGCCCCCTGTTTGATAGCTTCTTCAGATCCATATGTCCCTACATATAGGAGGGTTTTAGTCTTAACCTCCTTGCTGATGTACTGGCTAAGCATTAATAAATTGTTTTTTGTCTGGGAGCATTCAACATGTCACTCTTGCTAAGGAATGGGAGAGGAATGCACAAACAGGATTTTTTATTACAATTATTATTATTATTATTATTATTATTATTGCTGCATTTTCTTCTGTGGTGAATTTGTTATCAATATAGCACTGCATTTCTAAAGTTTCTGATCACCACAAATAAGGTACATTATCTACACAGGCAAGTTAGTCCACGGATCCTTTAAAAATGTTAGGCCACTCATTCGGCAAAATAGCCTTTGATGCTGCTATCATTAGAGGTTCAGATCTGCTCAGAGGTTCAGATCTGCTCCTCCACATTAAAATAGGGAGTTGCAGGTCCATACTGAGTGTCATGGGCCCATTGGTCCATAAGAATTTGGCAGCCCCAGGTAAACCATGTCTGGGGGCTGGAAGGTGGGTGGCCAGGGATGGAGGAAGGAGGTCTCCCCCTTGTGACTCTAGAAGTCAGAAGGAAGGAAGCAGATCTGTTGGTTCTCTTCCCCACCCCTTCTGTGGAGTCCAGAGCCTCACTATCGGGGAGGAGGAAGTACCTTGACCCGCCAGAGGGAGGGGCTTCTTTTGATTAGTTTGGCTTTTATTGTATTTTATGTCGAAAACTCTTTATAGAAATTGATATGAAAAAAACCTGAATCTTCACCTAGAATAATAGAATAATAGAGTTGGAAGGGATCCTGAGGGCCATCCAGTCCAACCTCCTGTGATGCAGGAATCCCAACTAAACCATCCATGACAGATGACCACCCAACGTCTGTTTGGAAACCTCCAAGGAAGGAGAGTCCACCACCTTCCGAGGGAGTCTGTTCCACTGCCAAACAGCTCTTACTGCCAGAAAGTTCTTCCTGATGTTTAGTCGCAATCTCCTTTCCTACACCTTCTGGGCATTGTGCTTGTTGCTGACCCTGTACTGCTGTTAGCCTGTATAAAGCTCTTCTTTACTTTCAAGCAAGAGTTGCTCACATTGCCTTTTGGGATAAGAGCATGGCGCAGGATAGTCCTGTTCTCGGTAGTTCTCTCTCTGGTTATATGCATTTAGAGAAGGTGAGACACAGCTCCATTAAGATCCTGACGTCCATAAATAGACCTGCTCTGCACAAGGCAGCTTCCTAATTGCTGCAACAACCTCTTCCCCATCTGAGGCTAACCCCTTACTTCTCTTCTACTG